GCTACATGTTTCAAATATATAATTATATATATTATGAACATAGCTCAAATAATTAAAAGAAATGTTTATGACCAGATCCACATCCTTGCACGATAGCAAGCATGAAATAGCATGAAGACACCCCTCCAGCACACCAACACACATCTGTGGAAGGCTGCACATGCCTAAGCAGAACCTCTAGCCATAATTTTAAATACAATGCGCAATTTATACTTTTATACCATTATATTATCCATATTTCTATATTTTATGTATTTTTAATCATAACCATAATAATGAAATTTATTAGCATAATAAATTGCAGATCTGTGCTCACTTTATAAATATATATTTGCTGGCAACACAGCCGTCAGTTGCAGGAATACAGATCTGTATCATAACAATTAATTTTAATTACATGAGTTATGTTCATAAGTGCCTGATGGGAGTCTAATTATATGGTTGAAACATGTAGCACAGTTATGTTTATATTAAACACGCAAGACATATACCAATCTCTATTGTCTTTATTGAAGATATCCCCACACTGTTTGCTGTGTTGATGGTTGTAACATAATTAAAAGAACATAAAAATCACTGGATCAGACCCTAATGGTTGAGAGAGTTATCATTAAAATCATTTATGTCAATTGCCATGGCTAATCAAATTGATTCTACATTACAGCAACCATATTAACAGTTTTAGAGTACTGCTGTGTTATGATGATAGTACAATTTTAGAAAAATAGAGTGTATAAGCACTTTTATGTTATATAGTACTTTAATATCGTACCTCATATTGTTACTAATCTAAATACAAACTCCCAAAAAGGGACTCCACAGTTTTAAGAAGACATATTTAGTGACCATAACAAAACATGGCAGATAGCAACCGCAAATAAGGACACCTCAAACATTGTTGTACTAAGCAGCATAACACAATGCACATACACGAAGTGGCACTGTGGCAATTTGTCATTCCACCATTCCAGGTGTCAGTGTAGGCTTTGCTATGTGCCTGCTCCTTAGGGCAGTGGATGCAAGAAAACGTAACTGAACATGGCTTGAACAACATTTTATAGTGAAAATTTGAAGGGAAATTCTAATGCCTACACTTCACATGCCGATCTATTCTGCCTAAACAGGTCACATGTTTTCAGGAAGGTACCACATTATCACACTGTATCACTTTAATACCATCTGATGTTAAGACAGACTTTGACGCAACAGTTATACATTAAAATGTAAAATAATGTAATTAATGATAATCTACTTGATATGCACAAACAAATACAAGGAGGTTCTGTAATGAAAAAATGTGAATTTGACCTATCACTTCTAAATGAGCATATGTGGCCTGAAGCTTTTCAAATCTGGGTTTAAATAGCAATGTAGGAAAGAAATTGCACGAGAATGAACAGCAAAACCTATTCAACAAACCAAAATCCAGATGATCCTCTTGCAACAACATGCTCTTTCATACTAAGCTTTTGAATGGCTCCTGTGA